ATAGTCTATACCTTAATTATTTACATTGATTAATTATTTTACAAGTACATTTTAATTATTTGCATATATATTAAATATTTTAAAATTGCTGAAATCGTATTTAATTATTTACATTGATTAATCATTTTACAAATCCATTTTAACTATCTTTATTGATTAATTATTTTACTAGCATTGACATTGTATAAAAGTTTTTGAGTGTTTCCTGTCAATTAAGTTACTTCCAAAAAATAAAAATAAAAAATCTTTTTACTTGAGTTACAATTATTTAGAGACACTTTTAGTACATTTATAAAGTTTGGAAAAGCATAATTTATTATAAATTTTTTACTTTACATTGATTAATTATTTTCAATGGCGATAATCTGATTATATTTTACATTTTAGTTATTTATATTGATTAATTATTTTATAAGTGTTGAAATTGCACAAAAGGTGTTGTAAATGATGTTAATGAAGTAGTAAAACTTGGTATTTGACAAAAAGAAAAAAAGAAAAGAAGTAGTAAAACTTGATAAAAATGTTGTAAATGATTTTTAACATACCTTTTACTTTGATATTTCTTAGTGTTGAAGTTGTAAAACGATTATTGTTAATGGCATTAATAAAGTACTACCTCTGGTCCTTAATACAAGATCTTATTTAGTTTTTATTTTGATTCTAAGTATGAGGTCCCAATCTATCTTTTCTCTAATATTTATGTATTTTTTTTACCAAAGTAGTCCTATAATGGTAGCTCTCATAACCACACTTGATTAGTAATGATATTTTAGGAAAGACAATACCTATTTATTACAAATAACTAACTTAACTTGTTTCTTTAATCTCCTCAAATTAGTCAACAAGCTCTTATAATTAGAATTGAAGGTAGTAGTAGAACTCAATAAAAGTGTTCTTTATGCTATTAGTAGTGTCGTAAATGATTTTTAATAGGACACTTTACTTTGATTTTTTTCAAAGTGTTGATAGTTGAGAATGATGTGAATGAAGTAGTGAAACTCAGTTAATCGGACCCTTTATTTTGATAGTTTACCTTATGTATAATTTTGTATTATACCAACAGATCAGATAGGCTTGGTGGCTTAGCGGTCATTGGATCTTTTGGGATCCAAGGGATGATGTGATCAAATTTCACTTTGATAACCTTGGCCCAAAAAGAAGGCGCCGGAGCTCTGTGGCCGGTTGGCACCACGCTGCCGGTCATGATGGCTTTTTTTTTTTTTTTATAAGATAAAAGGCAATATTATAAAATCACCAATATTTTAAAATTTCAATTTAGTCATGAATATTAATGTGAAATTTTGTAAATTGGTGTCATGATTTTAGAATTTGAAATTTCAAATGTCATTTATTTGTCGTTTTCCTTTGAAAAATTGAACTTCATCAACCAACAAAACCTAAATTAACTATATATAGATAACAATTTGTGTAACAACCTGAAAAGTTTAAATGTAATTTCTTTTACCTGTATACAATGAATATGTCTTTTAATACATTGCCTTGATTTTAATGTTTTAAAAAAGATTTCAAAATAAAAATACAAATAAATTAATAATAATCATAATATTAGTAAGTTGGAGTTTTCTTTTTTTAAAACAAATTGTTTCAAAAAATTGCATATCAGAAGTCTTGTTAAGTTACAGTGTCAGATCTTACACAAATGAAATTGTGATATCATGTCCATTTTAGATGACAAGCATTGGAGATAGTGTTGCAACTAATATTGCACAGAAATTGGCGGAAAAGATTATCACGGAATTTAAATATTTTCATGATTTTGAGGACTACACACACAACTTTGTGATAGAAAACAGCATTTTGGATGCAAAACGAGAGAATGTGCTGACAGATATTGAAGATGCCAAGAAAAGAAACGAAAGTCAAATTAGAGATGATGTTCAAAATTGGATCGAGGAGACCAATATTCTAATTCAGAAGAACACTAGAATAAAGCACACATGGTCTTATTGTTGGCGTCCTTACTGGCAATACCGATAAGGGAAGAGGCTGGCAAAAAGAACGTTAATCATTAAAGATCACATCCAAAAATATAACCTTGATGAAAGAGGAGTTGCACGTCCAGCTGAACTTCCAGGTATGAAGTACCATGCTTCAAAAGACTTTATTGATTTTGAGAGCAGAAAGACAAAATTAAGCAACTTGTGGGAGCATTAGAAGATGGAAATCATTACATAATTGGATTACAAGGGGTGGGGGAACGGGTAAAACCACATTGGCAAAACAAATGGGCAAACAAGTTGAAGAATCCAAAGCATTTGACAAGGTCATCTTTATTAAGAAAATCAAGCAGCAGCAAGTGTTTTGCCAGAATTTGCAGGGGTATAAATATTAGACTAATCATCAAAAGAACCAAAAAAAAATCTGACTTATTAATGGTGTTGGTTAAATTTGCAGGGGTATTTTCTTTTACTAGCGAATTTAACCTGTCCATAAATTTGACTACTGCAAACTGACTGACTTATTAATTATGGTGTTGGTTAAGAGCTCCAAGGAAGCAATGAAGACAAGTGTTGAAGTTGCATCATCAATGGTACATCTCCATCTCATTCTACAATCACAAGAGCATAGTTTCTCCACATCAAGCCTAAGTTTTCTAAACAAAATGCACCAAATAGAACATAGGAACATGCTTAGAGATGACTAGCTTTCTGTTTTTCTAATAAGTCATTATTCATTACTATACAACTGATACATTTGATAAAGCCACAATGGCGACTTCACCAAACCCTTCAAACATCTAAAGTTAGCAAGGATTTTATGTGCACATAAAAAGAAGAAGAGAAATTAATGCATAAATAAATTCTATCTTTTGATGTGATAGAGTAAAAAGGAGGAAACAGTGAAAAAAATTGAAACTAAGGATCCTACTCTAGCATTAGAGAAACAAGCACCAAAAGGTTCAATACCACAATTGAGAAGGGCAACTTCACCTGTAAGTTTATTGATTGTTTGACTATTTTCAACATGACCGCAAGTCTATTTTAAACTTATAGCATGTTCAGTATGTCTTCTAATACCAATGCCAACAAATGTAAACCATATGTATAGTCTCAAATTTAGTTTGATTATTTATAAATTAACATGTTTCTAGGAAAAGAATTGAATATTGAACATAGAAGATATTCATGAACTAATGAAGTTCCCTTAAGTGAAATACTTAATTCTATCTCTCACTGTAATTCAGAATTACAAAGAAACGGAGGAGGAAGTTAGCAGTATCCTTCCTGATCCTGATTCAAAGTTACTAGCAACAACTTCAAGGTGAACAAAGTTAATAGCCCATATATTTAAATGTGCTTCAAAACAAGGATTTCTCATTGAATGGAAACATAACTTCAATCAATTTACGAAGTTGCTTTGTTAAACAAATGTCTATTCGGAGATTAGAAACAGGGAAAAAAGTTGTAGGAACGGCCTCAGAGTCATCGGTTACTACAACTTCAGAGTTATCCTTTGATATTAGAGGAGAAACCACATAATCAAACTCTATATCTATTATTGACAAGAACTTGTGTTCCTCGATGTAGGGGAAAAAACAAAAAAAACCATCCTGAAACAGCAATTTCTTGATATCTTTCATCATGCAGCCAAAGTAAAGAATTAACTGCACATGCAATAAATGAAACTGAAAAATATTTCCTTTCTTTTGCCTTTCTTTTTTTTTCAGATTACTCAGGGTATCAAAGAGATAACAGAATCAAGTCTTCAAGAGAATTATGCAACGGAGGATGCCATGATAGCAATTCTACCAACTGATTCAAATTCAAGGAAGCAATCCACTAGACCATTTGTCGACGCTAGAAATGATTTTGCGCAAGTAAGTCCACTGCCCTTTTCTAATACAGCAACATCTGAACTATACCGGATATTTCCCAATTCAATTTCATCATAAGCAACTTTGCTGGGCCAACAGCAAGATCTTGGAGAAGCAAAGATATCCATTGAAGTTTCTCATAAAACCAAAATACCATTTAATGATGATGTGCGTTATAATTAAGGTATCCCAACAGTTTTTGAAGTTGCATTATGATTGCTAGCCACTCTTTTGCGCTGCACAGAGTATTGATGTCATAGTAAAAGAAAAAGCTCAAGAAAGGCCTACCTCTAAGGATGCTATATTAGAAACTCTGTTCGCTGATTTAGCATCGAGGAATTTATCCGCAGCATCAATCACTACTCTACAAGAGGAGTTTCCATTGGTTATTGATTATTTTGTTATGCCTAGGAATATGCTAGATGGCTAAAAGAAAATGTATCTTTTTTTTTTCCACTGCTTGTTTTAGGATTTGACAAAGAAAAAGTCAAGTGGAACAATCATGATAAACCAGCAGGTACTCACAGAAAAGACGTCTGTCGTATGCTTGAACTCTTCACAAAAGATAGAAGCTAGAACCTAATGGTTATAATTAAATGACCTCACACGTTTTCGGTACTTATGCACAGCGTTGGAAATATTCAAGAGGACATCACCATTATGAAAGTTAAAACAGATGCATCTTTTTATTCACAAGTAGAGGAATCACAATCTAGTCCATCTACAATGGTAAGTTTTATTTATATAAGTTTAAATACCAAGTACCACTCATTTACATCTTTGTAAATCAGTATCAAAATATCGACAACACTTATATGGGCTCAACCAAATTTTCATTTTGCAATAAAGATAAAGCTAGATTATAATTAAAGGGCCTAGCACACTTGTACATGTATTGGTACTTTTACAGAGTGTTGAAAGCATTCAAGAGGAGACTACAACAATGGAAGCTAAAGGAGATACTTCCTCTTTTTATTCACATGTAGAGGCCTCACAGTCAGGTCCATCTGCGATGGTAAGTTCAGTATATAATGATGCAGAACTTTGGAGTTTATGTATTCGGAAATGCAAGACCAATGAATTTAAATAACTTGTGATTTCTAGGTTGCTAGTATGGAAGAAATCGTGAAACAACCCTTTCAAGAGCACAATTCAAATGAAAACGAAGTAGCAATTCAATCATCCAATCTAGAGTTAATGAACCAACCAAGAGGATCATCGCATTTGCTTTTTGAAAAAGAATTTGCACTGGTAACTACATTAATTATATAGAAATTGAAGTCTGGTAGATTGTTTTGCTTTTGTATATCCATAACTATAGGATTTAAGGGAGGAAAACAATTATATCATTGATCTTGTCTCCGACTACTTTTCTGAGCCAATATAGATATGATGCTGGGAAAAAATCGTTGGTGAGTAAATAGATAAATTATATGACATAAATGCAGCATTATAAATCAAATTTTATCTTTTCACCTGCTTATAAATAGGGAAGAAGGTCGTTAGACTAATTTTTCATTTTGTGCCACGCAGACCACTAAAGAAATAAGAGGCATAAATGTTAGGATGGACCAAATACTCCTATGAAGAACAACACAAGCCTTCCTGATGTTATTCCCTCTTCCCATCATCGTGAGTATCTTTCTGCGATGATTTCAGATTCTCCTTCAGTCATGTGGTAACTTTCTTGGCTGTACACATGTCAGAATCACAAACTGGTGTTGCTGCTTCTTCTTCTCCGACGCTGGAGATTGGTGAAATTTTAGAACTGGTGGAGTTAAAAGATGACGAACCAGCTTTACTATCCAAAGCACTTGAGCTATATCCCCAGTTAAGGCTCTCTCATGGGCAACGTACCCGCTCAGTAATAGCTTTCTCATACAGAGTGCTGACTGATATTTTGGTCATGTTGGCAACCAAGACACCTCATGCCATTACAACGTCAGAGAAGTCGACCTTAGAGAAAAACTTGGGTACTGCAACATTTTTAGGATTTGACAAAGGATGGATTGAATCAGTTCGAGACAAAGTTTCTGGCAATGACATGTTTGATGTCACGAAGGTGGAAGAAAAAATTCAGGAGATGAAGGAAGAACTAGAGACGCGACATTATGTTGGAGCGAGTTCGAAAGCAGAGGGTAGAGTGAGTCTGAAGCAATTGATTCTCAGTTGTGGGGTCTGTTGGAAGATCGCAAGAAAGTAATAGAGAAGATGATGGAGTTTAGGGGGATAATAAGTGCCCAGGACAGAGATTTTGGAATTTAGCTGTGTTTCATTTGTGCTTTGTTATTTCATGTTTGGCTCAAAAAGACTGAAAAGTAGTGAACCATAAGCTGTACTGTGACCACATTTTCCCAGGTTCAACTAAATAACGAGACTTCAGAATTTTAAACTCACATGATGTACGGGTAAATATGGCCTTATATTTAATTCGTTGGATGATTGGTGTCTAACTGCTATTATACTATGATTATTGTGTGACTTGCATTCCTATGTTTGTTTGACCCTTTTGATTGGAGCTTCTCCAGACAACAAATGAATTAGCATTCATACGTTCTTGTAAGATTTTGCCTGTGTCAATATACAATCCTTTGGTCAGTTTTTTATAGCAGATATCGAGAAAGTAATCGTTTTTAAAATCATAAAAAATCTTTTGTTAGATACGTGCAAAACTAAAGTGGCATCATATGTTTATCAACACAACAATCAACTACTGAACAACTTCTAATATACGCAGACATTTTAGATAATTAAGAAATGTAATTAAACGTCTTGAGCAATTGAATAAGATGAACGAAAGTGAAGCAGAGAGATGAATAGGATGAATGAAAGTGAAGGAGGCAGCTTGCTTACGTGAGGGGATTGCTTCTGTAATTTCTGTCCTCCGCCATTTGACTAATGCCGTCATGAAAAATGTAAAAGTGGCATTTAAACTTGATTGCTCATCAGCCTTTGTCTCTTTCTCTGTTCTTCCATGGATTGACACTTAAATGGTCGGCTGATAGAGTTTAGAGCTTCAACTTTGCCTTTGAACAATAGTGCATGTACGATGCAGAGGCTATTTCATTTTCAATAGGCCAGTTTATTTCACATTTATACTTTTATTAGTTTCAGGCTATTTTACCATTACCATTATTGTGGTTATGATCAGAAGGTGAGAAAGAGACGGAACCAAGTTTATTTTCTATCACAGATTGCTATAACGCCAACTTTAAGAGTGAGAAAAAATAAATCAGCCTACTTTGGTCAAAAGTCAAGTCTATTGACAGCTCTATCACAATGATTCAACGAAACTATTGATGTGCTTCTCAACAACCGTTTTCAAAGTCGTTTCATTGTTTGCATAAAACAGGCAAGCTTTGAAAAAGATACACATTGTATTTTGTTGTTGAAAACGGCAAAAAGGAAATGCAAATACTTTTGATCATGTTTTTTCTGTTAAAAACTAACCAGCCTTGTTCACCAAAGAGAGGGGCAAAAAAAGCAGCCAGGCTTGCCTCTTTCATGTCTCTGCCCTTTGATCAATCAATGGCCCTGCCAATGCTTGTAGAGTCTCCATGTGAATGGTTCACGTACAGAATTACAGAAAAGGGAAAATTATAATCATAATTCAAAGTATATATATGAATTAACTTAAGCTTCTAATGTAGGCTATAACGTCACATTTGTCCAGCAAAGCATGAGGTTACTATATTATGCGATCTTTCAAATTTTATGAGACAGAATTAAAAAAAAAACAAACAAACAAAAGGGGATGACTAAAACCTCATAACCAGAAACTGTAAGAAAAATGCCAATCTTGTGGATTATCTATTTCCCTGAAAATTCATACGACAGTATATATTTCACCCAACAATATAATTCTCTTTCTTATTTGTCATCTTCACTAACACTTCAACAATTCCACAGCTCATTCTCTCCAGTATCTTCCTCACTCCCCATCCCTTCCTTCTTAAGTCTCCTTCGTGTCCCTTCCTTCTTCTTCCTAAACTTCAACAACCACAGTGGGATCTGATCCTCATCCTCAGTTCTTACCTTCACCTTCTTCCTCCATCCACTTTCTCAACTCCATACAAAGGAACCTCAGTTCTTACGCTCTGTGATTGCTTTCAACTAGCTGTGAAAACAATCGAGTGCTTCCACGCAATGAAAAGAACTTTTGAAAGTTTAATAAGCTTTTCTTTGATCAAACTTGGGAGCATTCTATCTTTAAGGTCAACTTTTAAGTCGTCTGCACCTTGACTGCGTCTTTTTAAAGAAGTCTTTGTGCCGCTGGCAAAAAAAAAAAAAACAAAAGAAAAGTATTTGTGCCTTGAAAGTTTGAAAGACTCCAATTTCACATATTATTGTTTTTAAATTTTTTTATGCGGAATAATATAATTTTTAAATCTAAATTTTATTTTCAGCTATGCATTTAGCTGCTATATTTTGACCTTTTACAAATACCAGAGCTCTGCTGTTAAGATCAAGACCATCCCTTTTTGTAAAGACCACAAAAAAAAAAAGGTAAACTAAAGAGAATAAATAAGATAATTCTGTTTGTATTGATCCTGAAAACATAAAGAGAACAAAGTAATAACTAATGTGATGATCACAAAAATTTAATAAATAATCATTTCCTTTATAATTAATATTTTAATCAATTATTGTAGATATGCATCGAGTGAGGTGGTGGCCTAGTGGAGTTTGTGAAGGCTGCTTACAATTGAGCATCATATCTGATTTTCATTCAAAAGTAGCGATTCAGCAAAGTGCTGGCAAGTCTAAGTAGCAGGTAATACGAACGTGTTATAATTTGAATTGACACGCGTAAAAGAATAATGCATTTTAAATGCTTAATTATTTGTTTTCCATCATAATACTTAATATATAAATTTGGAGAGCTAAAATGCATTTTCTCACTTGTGATGATGACATACATATCGACATTGCATGAATCTGAGGTATGTCAATGCTTGATTAATATAGAAATATTATTTTGTGTATATCTGATATAACTGAGGTTAGCACCCACATGTAAGTAACCTTATCAATTTTTAGGAAAGCATCTGCATCTATTAGAAGTAATTAAAGTTAGTGTTTCGAAATATATTTTTGTTCCTCCAATTTTAAAAGTCTTGTCATCAATAGCTGAACCTAAAACCTTTTGTATAACTTGTGATTTTTTTTCCAAAGGTTTTTCTTCTGTACTTGTCAGCAATTCCTTTTTAATTTCTTGATTGTTTATATTCAGCATACTGTAATGAATATTTAAGAAGAATATTTTCAGATTTATTCACGAAAGTTTCTAAACTTAGTTCACAATTGTATTGGAGTATGAAACAGCACACGTCCTTTAATGATATGAATAAAAATACTTTTTCTGGGTTGTACTTAGACTTTGTTACTTTTAAATGATATGAATACAAATACTTCTGGCCAAAAAAAAAAAAAACAAACAAATAAACAAACAGTAACTTCACCAAACCCTTCAAAATTATTAGTCATTATTCATTACTATCAGAATTGAGAAGGGCATTGTCATGGGTAACTTCATTGATTGTTTGACTATTTTCAAGAAGACCACAAGTTTATTTTAAACTTATTCGAAACTATAAACTATATTAATAAAATTATATAAATCTTTTCAATATTTAAATAATTTAAATATTGAAATAAATAAATAAAGAATTTTATTTGAATTGAATTGTTCGAATTGTATAATCGTCAATTACTGACATTGGTAAACGGCTTCTAATACCAATACCAACATATGAAAACCACATATATGGTCTCAACTTTAGTTTGATTATTTGTAAATTAACATGTTTCTAGGAAAAGAATTGAATATTGAACATAGAAGATATCCATGAACTAATAAAGTTCTCTTAAGTGAAATACTTAGTTCTATCTCTTGCTGTAATTCAGAATTATAAAGAAACAGAGGAGGAAGTTAGCAGAATAGTCCCTGATCCTGATTCAAGGTTACTAGCAACAACTTCATCTGCTTTTCAAGTGAACAAAATTAATGGCCCATATATGTAAATGTGCTTCAAAACAGGGATTTCTCATTTAATGGAAAGATAAGTTCAATCAATTGATGAAGTTGCTTTATTAAATCAATCAATCATTTCTTGATTATTCAGAGAGTAGAAACAACGGGGAAAAAACAAAAGTTTGTAGGAATAGGTTCAGAGTCATCAGTGACTACAGCTTCAAAGTTATCCCTTGATATTAGGGCAAAAATCACATAATCAAACTCTATATCTATTATTGACAAGAACTTGGATTCCTGTAGAATTATCTTAATATCTTTCATCATGTGGTCAAAGTAAAGAATTATCTGCACATGCAATAAATGAAACTGAAAATTATTTCCTCTTTTTTTTTTTTTTGTCTGATTACTTAGAGTATTATAGAGATAATGAAATCAAGTCTTCAAGAGAATTATGCAATTGAGGATGTCATGATAGCAATTCTATCAACTAATTCAAATTCAAGGAAGCAATCCAGTAGGCCATTTGTCAACTCTAGAAATGATTCTGCACAAGTAAGTCTCTTGCCCTTTTTTAATACAGCAACATCTGAACTACAATGGATTTTTCCCAATTCAATTTCATCATTAATATTACCAACAAGTTGCATCTAAATCTTCAATGCTTCAAATAGGAGTTGGAGTTTGAACGCTCAACACGTGAAGGAACTTCGGCTGGCCAACAGCAGGATCTTGGAAAAACAAAGATATCCATGGAAGTTTCTCATAAAACCAAAATACCACTTGATGATGATGTGCGTTATACTTAGTGTATCCCAATAGCGATTTTGAAGTTGCCTTATGATTACTAACCGCTCTTTTGTGCATCACAGAGTATTAATGTCATAGTAAAAGAAAGAGCTCAAGAAAGGCCCACCTCTAATAGGGATGTTATATTAGAAACTCTGTTAGCTGATTTAGCACCGAGGAATTTATCAACAGCATCAATCACCACTCTTCAAGAGGAGTTTTTATTGGTTATTGATTACTGTTTTATGTCATTTTTTTCAATTTAAGAAAACTCTAGTTGGGTAAAAGAAACTGTATCTTTTTTCCCCGTCTCACTGCTTGTTTTAGGATTTGACAAACAAAGAGACTAGAAGAGGGACAGCACAACAAACCAGCAAGCACTCGCAGAAAAGACATCTGTTGTATGCTTGAACCCTTCATAAAAAAATAGAAGCTAGAACCTAATGGTTATAACTAAATGACCTCACATATTTAC